TAATAAATAATGTGGATAAGTGTCTCAAGAAACTGTGGTGCTGCGTCGGTGGAGGAGTATAACAAGATAATTTTGGTTTTATGAACTGAGTTGATCAGGTAAATTGGCCACCGCAAAGAGTTTCAAAGCAGACGTTTCAAGCAATGGCCCTTCGTCGGAGTGAATGAGGAAACCCTGTCACAGACAACTGCACTTAGCGATAGAATATGTCAAGCACTAATTTAGTAGCAGTTCCACAATTCACATGTAGTAATAAACCCTCCACACCATAACGTCAGTATGCATATTCTCCATACTGTCCTATTTACATTTGGTAAAGTACTGACAAGGAGAATATGTAGAACAATCAAAAGGTTCTCTGGTTATTGGTCATTTCCTTTATTCTCATGACCTTAATGTGTGACTTAAGGGTGATATTGTAAGGAGAAATTAGATGCTGGTCACTCTTAGGGGTTAAAGGGTCAAATCAGAATTATCTGAAGTTGAAGTGCATTAGCTTGCGCAGCAGGCGTAACTTTGGCGAGCGAGGGCTCGGTATTTTCTTAACGAAAGTTATGGCCTACATCTTTGAATTTAATGGAAGCGGAAGACTGGGAAGAGAAAGAAATTAATACCAAGGGGGCAGTTGATGGTCAAAAAGGAGGAGAGGAGTGGGGGTGGGGAAGTGAATGTTATTGCCCCTACTGTCCACTCTAACTCCAAATCAAACATGGCCTTTTGGATAAACGATCGTGAGCTTATAACACTAGCTCGCCCTAACAAGACGCCGCACTATAGGCTAGGGGTTTCCCCCAGTAACAAGTACATACATGCAAGAGAGAGGTTTCTGATTTTTACATGAAGTCAACAAAATTACAGTTTTGAAGATTCTAAAGTACGGGTATTGCACATGTAATCTTTGAAATTTTTTCGGATAAATTAATTATTGACTTATTTTCATCAACTGAAAAAGAAATTTCATTTTTTCTTTTTCCTGCAAAGCTACAAGTAAATGATGATATTCCAACTGCTTTTAACAAGCTCTGTTGACCTTGGCTACAAATTTATCCCTCACACAACAAGTAATCTAATAAAAACTTTTTCGGCTCATCAAACAAGATCACAAGATCACTAATATTTTCGGCCAGAAAAAAAATTTAGAACAAGGGAAGTCATGGCTACATAACCAGCACCTTCAAATTTAAGTTTTGTAATGATGTACATTAAAAAAATTATGCACTTCTGATTGGCTGAAAATCAGTACATTCTCATGTAACACAAGTGCAAAGCTGTAACATAAGAGTAAATTACAAATAGCACACCCACACTTTCAAAATTTTATTTGTCTTAATATTCTGTGTTGTTTTCTTATGTACATTATAAACATGTAATAATATGATTTCTCTTGCAATTTGGTGTAAATAAGCAATTGTAATTTTCAAAGACTACAAATTGCACTCACTCAAGGGGTTGTGCAATTTTGTTGTCTCTGAAAAATTTACTTGTTTATTTGCACTAATTGAAATCAAATTCATGTTATTACCTACATATATGCAAATAGGAGTTTGCCAAAGATACAGTGATACAACAAGACCACTATACAAGGGGGCTCTAAAGGACTGCCAGAATCTTAAGGGCAGCAAGAGGGCATGTATTCCACGAAAATTATGAGAAATATCTTGTATATGCAATTATTAAACAACTGAACAGTGGATTACCCAAGTTACCTGATGACAATTGGAATGCAGCTGAACAATATCTTTTGTTCCCTTATACCCCTTTCATTTATTCAATCTATTTCTTAAGGCAAAATAAAGCAATAATTTGGAGATCAAGTTCCCAGTTAATAAGGCAAGCAAAGCTATTTCAATTTCCTGAGAGAACACAGTGGAAGGTTTATTAGCAACTCTGGCACCTTGCTCAGCAAAGAAGATTGTGTGAAGTATGTAGTGGCATAGAGGAAGCAGATGACCTTAAATTGAAACCTTCAATAGCAAAATTTACGTTATTAAGCATGACTCACCAGTAAACATAGCTTTGAAATATGGACTACTTGCAGCCAGGATAACTCTGTGAGCTGATATACTGGTACTGCCCACCTTCAGTACTACATCACACAAGTCCTCGTCTCCACGCAATGACTTCAGGGCAGTGACCAGATCCTTGCTGTGTGCAACATCAGCAAAAAGATACTGTCGTCTAGCAATGCTGCTGTCACTTTCACTTTGGTAAGGGCTATGTGCAAAGGATACAGGAGAGTTTCTGTGGGGTGAAGCCATTGGGGAGCCTCTGTGAAGAGGACGGGAATCTACAGTGTAGAGGGAAAAGAAGGAAAGATCAGGCACAATATAACTAGAGAAAAGGTGTAATCTATAGTACAGTATGTAGGCAATGAAAAATAGAGTTTTTTGATAGTGTATGTGTTTAGCAAATTAATTCAGTGTTACCATATATGCATATGTTCTGAAATAGATCACAGCCCTAATGACATCAAAATATAGTACGAGCAAAATAGTGGCACATGTCAGGCACAGCTGGGTGTCACTGATGCTCTTAGCACATTTTCACATCCTTTGTGATCTTTTATTGCACAAACCCACTGTAATATAGATTCTATTTGCTTCATCATAAAGAAGCAAAAGTTGCTAAATACATGCAAGTCTGTCCTTCAATAGATCATAAAAACCAATCAAAACAAGTAGCAGAAATATCATGATATAATTAAGAAAATAATATGATTACTCTGTATAATTTTGGTTTTTCGATAAAGCATGCACATGATTCCATGTGATTTCATCGTAACATTATTTAATTTTTTTCTGATGTTGTTGCTGTTGTTGCATGCCTTGTTGTTGTTTTTTACTCAATCCACATCATTAGCTTCATCTTTTTACAGTGTGACCATTTTAAACTGCATTTTAGTTTTTGGTTGAGGGTTTACCCAAAAAGACAAATATAAATAAAATAATTATAATAGGGATTGTTATTTTGCAAGTTACAGTGAAATTTTCAAAAAAAAATCCAAAAAGGTGACAAGAAATTAAGTCTTTAGAAGGAGAAATGCAATGAAATAGAGTTGGAAATTGTGACTCATATATAATAATATAAATTTAGTATTTAAAGAACAAAAATAATATTTCCAGGTTTATACACCCTAACTATCCTGTATTTGGGCTTTTAATGCTATGTCCCCTGCTTCTTAAACAAAATGAAAAACAGAAAAATTTGAGCTCACTTTAATTCTTTTCTGGGAGAAGAAGAGAAAAAGATGCACAACTAAGACTAAGGATCCCCATTAAACCCTTTACACCCTAACATCAGTATTTGTATTCTCCATACCCCTCTCTGTACATTTACTAAGGTGCTGATAAGGAGAATTTGTCTTACAGTCAAAGAGTTTCTTTAGTTGGTGATCATTTCCTTTATTCTCATGACATTAATGTGTAATTCAGTGGTGATATTGTAAGGAGAAATTAGATGCTAGTCACTCTTAAGGGCTTAAGGGTTAAAGAAAATGATCTTAACTATGTCTTTGTTATTATTTACACTTGCTAGAAATTTAAGAGTTGTGTTCAGAGCATCTGAGAAGCAAAGAAAAAATACTCTAAACTAATAAAGCCTACAGTTTGATGAGAAATATCAAATAGGTATTGAAGTCTTGCTCACTGTAATGCTTAGTCACGAATACTTCTTCAAAAACATACTTAACACAGATGTAATTTCTGACAAAATTATCACTTCTCTATTTTTTTTTAGAGTACTAAGATTAAGAAATAGCTTAATTCAACAGAGAAACATGATAAATTTTCCATGTGGATTGTTAAAACCTTAAAGTAGTTCATTAGCATTGACAGAATCTTACCCTCAATCAATACAAGCTGAACTTACAGCTGTGATCTTATTTGAAATGTTTACTTAACATTTGTTTGTTTAAAGATCAACATACGGGTCGATGGATTTCTGCAAATGTCAAAAATACAAACCTTTGGATCTAAACATTGCCTGTTGCTGTCAAGGGGATTGTGGACTCTTTAGGAACTGACCTCTTATGAACACCAAAAATCGTAAATATTTCAGCAAATACAGATAATTTGCAAATACAATCAGCTTATTCAAATTTACAGGTTATAAAATATTGAAATGCAATTGGCACGTGGAAAAATGCCAAGATCCACACATCTCTTGAACAGAAAAATTTGTGGTCAAAATTGTAGTCATGTGTTCTTTATCATGAATGGTGGGCAAGTTTATACTTGCAAATTGTATAAAGTTAAAAGATGACTAGCCTGTCTTTAAGTGTAGAGAGTAGCAGATCTCAATTATCATATGTAGAACTTTAAGAATCAATAAATAGTGAACTACAAAAAAAATTTTATTTTTCGCTGACCAGGGCAGGTTCGTGATTTTGATTTCACTGAATTCGTGATCACGGCCAATTGCAGCGGAAATGCTTGTTGGTGCGGAATGCATGTTTAAATTTATCCCAGATTAAAAAAAAACACAAATATTTTCGTACTTAAAAAAAAAATAATAATTTCGTATTCAGATAAAAAGGGTATGTTAATGGAATACAATAAACATATAGTAAGGATTTAGCTAAATTAATGGCCTATCGAATTATTTTCAAAAATTTACTTTAAACGTGATCAGACCACCAACTGTGTTAATTCAAACAGTAATCATATCGAAATACGACAAACGCTCACACAGAACTGATAATAAATTAAGCAAGCGATTGTGCAACAATTTCAGACACAAACACTCTTTGTTGTGGGTAGGCTGTTAGATATAGAGTTCAAATATAACGTTGATCCATCACTTTGAGCGACAAACCCGGTTCAGTTTAAGACCACAAGCTTGCTTAGACTATCTACTTCAAAAAATATTTTAGATTGACAAGCTTATTTTAAGGCGAAAAATACGACAGCCATCTTAAACACATAATTAAAGAAATTAATTGCATCTGTACGTTTCGAAAACGAAATGTCCACAGTAACACACATGCGGAACATTACGCTGAAGTTAGCTTTCAATATTTTAGAGCTTTCCCAATTTCTATTCCTGCTACGGTGCCAATTCATAAACCCAGCTGTGGCGATCACGTAAACAAGCCAAAACTCACACACGCATCATTACCAGTGCTAATAGATCTACACTCACTTACTTACCAATAGACGCCGTCTTGTGGTGTTTATGGGGAGGCAATGTATACAAAAATTATTTGATTCAACACCGCTTGGTCAGCAACTTCTTTCAGCCGCTGAAGTTGAAAGGGAAGCTATACGTCATCGATCATCTGCCAAATTTGGAAGGGACCGCATCCTCAGAGATTAGGCATTTCCGGTCAGTCACGCAAACAAAAGCTTATAGGATAAAGTGGCTTCCGTTTTCAACAGTGGATTGGAGTGAAGGAAAAATAAAATTTTTCATGACGCTCTTTCTTAGGATCTGCCCTTTTCTTTCCCTTTCCCTTTCAATCCTTTCAAATATTTTCCTTTTTTTTTTAGTTTAGAAACGTGAAAAATTGACATGTCACACTACCAGCTCAAGGAATGAATGGATAAATTTCCCCAATTTATTAGCTTTTCTTTTCTCATGATCCATTTTAATCACAATTGTTCTTAGGGAGCCTATTGCTTCTTATCAGATAATAGTTTTGTTATAATTACTGAGTCAATGAAGATAATAGTTCAAAAATGTCCAATAAAGTGGCCTCAATGTATCAGCAAAGTTGAGGCACACAATGCCCTACCACCTGTGAACAGTTGGCTGGAACCCATTTACACCTCTGCATAAAGAGAGGTACTGTGTGATTCAAGTATACTCAAGAATACAAAACTGTGACCCTGCTGTGTTTCAACCCAGAATCAAGCCTGCCAACTTTTGGGTGCAGAGGAGTGAAAAGGGTAAAGTTAGGATACACAGAGGCTTACCAAGTGACCCTGAAGTGCATCAAGTACAACAGCATTAGCATAAGTTTATTTTCCCCTATTGGTATTAGCTTTTTCAAATATTACAATTCACCAATAAATTTACTACTGACAGTTTCCATTTTTAAGCAACTTATAAATATAATTTAATTTGTACAATTCTGTTACAAGTATGGTACTGTCATCACAAGTCCCGGCCTTTAGTTAAATGAAGGCTTCACACTACTACACCAGCCGTCCAAGGTAAATGGACTTGGGAAAAATTATCTGGAGCTGTTGCCATTGAACAATAAAATAATCTGCAAAGCAGTACATGATTTTCCCAGATAGTGATAATGTCTTTACTCTGCAAATGCTCTCAACAAACACCATCGTAATATCCCTTACACCAAAAATCTGGAAAAAAACAAACAAAAACACAAAACCAAGATGATTTTACTATCAGTCCAAAACAATGTTTAGTTGTATGCTGACTACTAAATGTTAAAAAAATATTTTTATTCACTGCTTCCAACTAAACATTTCACTACATTCAAGAATTTCCAAGAGAAAGTATAAATTACTTGTTATCACAAAAAGTACATCCTCTTATTGACAAATAACACAAGTAGAGGTTAAATAAATTTTCTTACTTTTAACACAAATGCTGCTACATTAATTGGAATGCATGTTCCTGGACCATTACAAAGAATCTACAAAGAAAAAAAATCTGAGACAAAGGCACTCAGTGGTTCCTCTCTGCGCATTACAATAAGAAGAACATTCAAACATACTGGATAGCTTTATTGCTAACCCTTTACACCCAAGCATCAGTATGCATATTCTCCACACTTTTCTCTATACATTTCCTAAGGTGCTGACAAGGAGAATCTGTTTAACAATCAAGAGCTTCTTTAGTTGGTGACCATTTCCTTTATTCTTGTGACCTTAATGTGATTCAAAGGGTGATATTTTAAGGAGAATTTAGATGTTAATCAAACCTGCTGGTTAGTGTCAAAGGGTTTGATCAAGAGCAGGGAAAGCCTGGACTGCTGCCAAAACAGACCACATTGAAATCAGGAGCATTTACAGCCAGGAATGAAGGAAGTGACAAATGTGACAAAGTCTCTTTGCTTAAGCAGGAAATCTTATTCAGTGGCAGGAATATTTATATGTACTTACCAAATCTGGTTTCTCTTGCAATACAACAGGAAATGAAAAAGTCAAGGCATTCAAAGTTGTAAAGATTGAAGAAAGCCATGATTGACGTACTTCTCTACTTCGTGGAATTTTAACTATTTTAAACTGTGAAAAGAAGTAAATGAAAGAGTCTTAGGAAAGAAAAATGTGTGTCAATTTTCATTCAATAAAAAAATATGAAAACTAAACTTTAAGAAGAGAGAGAGAATTATGGAGAGGTGTTAACATGTACCCCTGATTTGTCCTCATCTTCCTTCTTCTTAGATTTTTCAAAACTATTAATCTTGTCTTCACTCATTTTATCAGTCTCAGCAACAATATAGATCCTTGGTTGATAACAAGAAGACAGTGAGCCCATAAGTCTGAGCATCTCTGAAGTATGACCACCTACAAAAATTAAAACATGTTCAATTTGGAAGACAGAGGGAGAGTGAAGGCTTAATCATCTAGATAACAGGGTCCTATCAACTGTGTTGATAAAGTTCATGTATGTAAACTGGCCTCAATAAAGAGTTTACAAAGCTGATTTTGTGAGTGTTAGCCCTTCATTATCGCACTCGAAACATCAGCTTTAGAAAATCTTTACAGTGACTAATTTACATTTAGTACTTATCATTACTTTTAGTACTTATCATGAATGTATTATTTGAATCATTTATAATACAATAGTAGAGCATCTGAGCCACTGGATCAAGTTCTGAATGTACATATAGGCCTTTCAAAACCTTTTTTTTTGGCCTTTTATAAGAATCTGATGCTATATCAAAACAATGGATGTAATGATGATATAAATTTGTCTCACAACCAAGTTACTAGATGTAGATTGCATCTTCAGCTACATCTAGTGACTTTGTCATGAGACAACAGAACAAATTTATATCATCATCCAGCTACCACGATGAACAACAACCTATTTCATAACAATGGAGGTATTGTTAATGTTGATAAAAAAATATCTTTGAAAGGGAGGCAATAAAGAAAAAGAGGACATTTTCTATCAGGTAATTTTTTAATTCTCATCCTCAAATTTTGAGGAGAATGGGGTAGATTTCCGTACAACCTCTAAACAAAGCTGTAGTCACAAAGGCAACCTATTGTTTTTGCCATTGCTCTTTTTATCCAAGAAATATTAATGCATACTAAATATGGGACTGTGCGGAAATCTTGCCACCATTGTATCAAATGATCAATCCAAGGAGAAATTGCGCTTAAGCCGGCTGTGATCGAAATACACATACATGCAGACACATTCATCTCTTGAATCCATGTTCATTTTAAATATAAATAAAAATTAAAACAAAAATTCTGCTAATTAGCTACTCATTCATGTTAATTTTGTGAAGGAAAAGCACTTGTGGTACTTCTGGATAAGTGTACCTGAGCCGGCAACCACCATTACTTTAGCTGACTTTCTCCTGTCCAAAGAACCTTGATTTCTTTTTTTCTTCAGCACATATACAGTGCGAAGTATCAGTAAGAGAACTAAGAAAAGAATCACAACAAAAAGTACGTAGAACATTTTTGCAGGAGTGAATAGGTAGAGCGAGATGGGCATTGCCGCTGAATGTATGCAGGCTCAAGAATTCTGGCGGGACACCGTGTCGTGGATGACCTTTTGTTTTTCAAAGTGAGCACTCCAAATATTCATGAGTGAATTCGTTTAGGATGAATGGATTTGGTAGGTGTTCCTTTGTTGAAGCACTTTTCTTAAGCTAGTACGCTTTGTTGTCCTTCAAATCTTGCGTCGCGCCTGAGGATGTAAAGGAATTTCACCCTGATTGATCGCACGAGTGCGCAAGCTCTAGAGGGCGGTCTCCCACTTCGAGTGTTTATTCGCTCGTATTTGTTGATATATTGGACATTGAGACGTTGAATAACTTTTGTATCGGAGCACTCGTCAACGGGCTCGAGTAAACCTTGTACCCTCCTCCATTCTTCGCCATGGGGTCAGTTGAATGATCGTCTTTTTGTGGTCGGCTTTCAGGGTAAAATTTCCGCACAGCACCATACTACATTATGCATTCAGTTCTTGGATTGAGAAAACAATGACAAAAAAAATACATTGCAATTGGGAAAACAGATTTTTTTACAATTGTATGGGGCTGTGAGGAAATTTTACCGCCTTCAGTAGGGTAAAGAAGGTTGGATGGTGCGATATTAGGAGAACGGTTAAACAATCGTTAGAGCGGATTCACAGGATAAACGATACTAAAGTATTATCCATCAGGCCCCGCCTGTTTTCTGTGTTTGTTTGTCTCATTGTTTTTGGCTTCATATACTTTTGTACACAAAGGTTGCTAGGCAATCCATTACTTCAGATGGTCTGAGTTTAGAGGTCAGAGTCACATTTGGGTGGGGATAGTTGCTGATAGATGATAAAATGTGGTAGGTTAGGGGTGAGGTTTGGGATGAGGAACTTTGATATGAGAAGGAGAGTTAGAGAGGATGACAATGATGCTGGTTGATGCTGATGAGGAGGACAAATAAATGACGAAGTCATTCCTTTGACCCTTTAACTTCCATGAGAGATCAAGGTAGATTTTCTCCTCAATATCAATTCAATATCAAGCAGACAACTGATGAGAAAAAATTAAAATATCAGTAAGGGGTTTATTATTTAATGCAGTACCAAATTTTTCAAATTGACATCATGAAAATTGTAGAGCAGGTAAAAGGAGAAATGCAAAAGAAATGAGATCTTATGAGTGAAAGGGAATTTTTTTTCCTTTATGGTATTTTTCTGGTAAATAATGATTTCCTCTCTAACAAATTAAAGTTACTGTATTTGTCATAAGCCCTGGAATGAACTACGCCAACTAAGAGCAAGTTAAATAGATATCTTTCTTGCGATTGACATCTTTCTCGGGATTGATGTCTTGGGATTGAATTGTCTATTTAACCTTCTGATGGAAAACAAAACTGTAATCACATTGAGTGTTGTCAATGAGGGACTGGCAGACTGTATTGCTTGCTCTTAATCCCTTTTCTTTCAGATGTTGGTGAACACAAGAGGGAGCTGAAGGACTTCAGTCTTTGTTTCTATACATCAGCAGCTAGTTTTGTACTCTGCTTGTTTTTATTTTATTTTGTGAGCCCAAGATTCTCAGCACGGATCTCCTCAGGATACTGTAAGCTCAGTGTTGCCAAAAAAACTGACTGGGACACAAGGTGATGATGATTATTGACATGATCAGACCCTCTGTCATTTCTGTAATCCTCTTTCCTTCCCTTGAAGTACCTGACCCTTATCCTTTAACTCCAAAAAGTGATTAAAATATAACTTCTCGATATTATATCCACACATTATCCAGCAAACAGATAATGAGAATACTCAAACTTATCAGCTAAAAAGTGTTACTTGATCTAATGCCAACTTCTCATAACTATTTTACAAGAGAATTTGTAGTAGCTAGAGGGGAGAATTTACAATAAGATCTTGAAAGTAATAGGATTAATTCTTTATGATCATATTCTTTTCTACCCCTATCAACCCATCAACTTGTTTTGTTTTTTATGGCTCCTCCACATCCACACTAACTTGCATTTCAATTGGACAAGTCATTCAAAACTGTGGAATACGTATTCAACAGATTATAAATTGTCTGTGACAAAAACTACTTTTCCCTAGCTCTCTCCACTTTTTACCTGCCTCAATCCCTTCCCACTTTTTATCTTGGTTCAGCTTTTCCTTCCCTTGTTTTCATTCATTTTGTTTCTCTTCCACCTCCATCCAAAATAATAATGCAAGGGAGCTTTCTAGACTAGTCAATCTCCACAGTATTCTTAACTTTAAAAGGCTTCATTTATAGGCAAATGTCTTATTATCATTTAAGAAAATGTCTACACAGTAGGTCAAGGTGGAAATGACACATTAAGGACTCCTGCTACTCCCTTTGAGTGGTTTGAATTTGTACTGAATTTATTCAATGAACTCTTTCACTCCCATGAGTGACCAAAACAGAATTTCTCATTACAATGTCACTACAAAATCAAGCAGACACGTGATGAGAATAAAGAAAAATATCAATTTGGGGATTATAAGTTGATCTAATTCCAAGTTCTTCAAACTAACATGTAGGCATTGTATGGAAGACAGTAAAGGGAACTACTATTGAGATCTTGGGAGTGAAAGAGTTAAGCTTCCTGGGTGCTTATTAAATGTTTGGACCTTAAGAGTGGGCACTTATTCAAGGCTAAGTGCTTATTATATTTTCACCATGTCAGCATTTACAGGTAGTTAATTTATTTTGCAACGAAAAAGTAAACAATTAAATGTGAAGAATTGTACCATAGACAGTGAATGTAGAGATTGTAAGCCTGTAAGGAAATAATAATCAGTACTTCCCTTGTGCATTTCACATGTTACTTATGTATGTTTTCTGAGAAAGGCACAGTCAGAGCAAAATCAATTTGTAAACAACATTGTAAAATGAATCTCTACATGGTAAGTGGGAATTTTTCAACTGTTTATAACAAGAAGCTTTTCCTCTATTGCAGGATCGGTTCAAATTTGCATGCAGTGGTTGTCAGCACAATCAGTTTGTATTGCTTCATATTTGATGAGGAAACAGCTTCCAATCCAATCAAGTATGTTCCATTTGTTTGTAAGCAGATTTTGTCAAGTTTTTATTGATGATGAACTTTATTTAACAAGGGTTCATGGCACAATGTAAACTGATGAAATAATGAACTTTATTTAACATGGGTGCATATCATAGTGTGAACTGATAGAAATAATGGCCATCAGCAAAAATGTGTATGAAAAACATCTGTAAAATAGTTACCATTGATTAAAATTATATGAAGGAAAACCAAGGTTATCTGGACTTGTGAATGGTCCAGATTATGGAGATTCCAAACAATCCAAAGTATGGATATTAATGAGTCCCCCCACCCCCAATAGAACTGAATACTGAATTCAGTATACAATATTACAAAATAATTTCATTCTTTAAAAAGTGCATTCTCAAATCATTGTGCATCATTGATAAAAATTTGCCAAAGTATTTCAAAGAGTGTTTTACAACAATGTTTCACAACCTAAAATGCTGATGTGAATCAGTTTGTTCAAGCTGCTACAGCATATTGCACATCCCAAGTTCTATCATTCTTTGAAGTTGAATTTATGGAAAAAGTTGTTACATATCTTGAATGTGACTGATAATACGACTGATATCTGTGGAAACAAAAGGGAGCAGAGAGGGGAGTGGGAATGATCAAAAAATTTGGATTTGAAATTGAGGTCTGAACAGTCATGGTTCAACTGTATTAATTTAGTTTTGTAAACCATCATCTTTAATATGTTTACTTCAGTTGTCTTCCTTTCTTTATAGAAATGATGGTGTGTTAGTAAGAGTTGGAGTAGCTATTACATTGGGGTACATTTTAGCAGGTATGTGTAAACAATAGCCTCTATTTGGTGCAAAAATATGCACAGATATTTTTCCATGGACATTATCTGTTCCAAAACACAAACAGTTTTCTGATAGTGAAGCTGGCAGGAAACTGAGCTTCTGTCACATGCATTTAGGCCAATTGTGTGCAAGCAAAAATATTTGATGGATCATAAGCCTTTGAGTACATAATATGCATGTATTATATGCTTTAGATATCATTTTATAAAATGCAATGGTACAAGTGGAATAGCTGGTAAAATTAAAAAAATAAACAAACTAACTAACAAAATCAGGGTCATTGAAAAGTTCTCTGACAGATTTGTAAGTAAATATGTCCCATTTTTTAGTGCAGACAAAATTATCACTGATAGCCTATTCCTGCAGGCTGGCTGATCTTTGATGTTTCCAGCTTCTCAGAGTTTCCCACTCACTGATGATTCATCTGACATGAAATGTTTATCATTAATTTTTTCAATATTGGTTACTAATTTGTCAGACAGTATAAAGTTCAATAATTGTTCAACTTTTGCTTGAGACACAATGAAAGCTTTGATAACACGGAGTTCCACAGGGGGTGCTGGCATTCACAATTATTTTTACCAAGGAATCACCATAGGACTCCAAGTTTCTAAAAATTAGGGTATTATGTCAGAATTTCAAAACTTTAACCTCAGATGTAGTTATTACATAGCATATTGACCTGTGCAAACTAGCATCTGCTATCTGCAGGTCAAATGAGTATTTTGTGTATATGAGAAGATAGATAAAGTGCAAATTGAAGTGAAGTGATCCCTAGTATGCCATAAATAAACAATCAGTCTATCAGAAATATTCATGTACTTTACAGATGATAAACATTTTTTCAAACTAAGTATCATAATTGTCACCAAAATTCAAATTTACTGTCTAAAAATTATTCAATTTTTCTTGTTGATTATTTCAGATTTCCTTATCATAGTCTGGTCCTACAAGTACATTGGAGATTTGTTTACTTTGGTTCACCACCTCATGGCAATATCAGCATATTATTTTGTTGTGGTAAGACTGTTTTACACTGTTTATGTGAACAGATACAGTACTGCTCATTAACAAAAGAAACAACAACCAAGCTGTGGTCACCAGTGACTATGATATTTAGTCCCCTACAATAGAAAGATGTATGTACTCCAACACTCTACCAGCAATGATTGTAACATTACAATTATAGTTATAATAAATTATTAACAGTAACTTTTTTGAGTCTATAGCAGCTAAATAATAAAGGCTGTTTTCATAATTATAAGTCTCATACTGATAAGTGAATAATTCTGATACTCAAGTTAGGTTGAGGAATCAATTTTCCTTTGTAGGTCAGTGGGGTTTTGCCTTACTTTGCTAATGTTCGTCAACTTGCAGAGATCTCCACCCCATTTGTGAATCAGAGGTTAGTTTGTTTGAGAATTACTTTGCAATGACAGTTATAGTTCTCACCAGATCTGTGTTCTGCATATTTTCATGTCTTACTCCCCTAAACACAGAGGTACCTGTACATGTCACTCTCATGCTATCATGTGACTTAGTTTTCTTTTCAGTCTACCCAGCCACTGTAAAATTTTAGTGGTAATGAGATAAGTAAATATAATCGAAAATGGAAATTGGAAAATGATTGTGGCTTGATACTTTAAAGAATTTATCAGAACATCTAATTATTACAAGGTTTGAGTAAGGAAATTATGGATATGGCAGAGTGGCAAAGAATGTCTTCAACACCGTGAAAACAACATTCAGGTGTGAGATAACAAAAAGGGTCATGTTTACAGTAAATACAATAATATGCATGAGGCTTTTGTTCAAAACAGCAGAACTACATATGTAATTTGAGCAAAGTTTCACTTGAGATTATCAAAATCGTGAAAAATTAATGGCAGGAAAACTCCTCAATCCTTGAACTTTTTGAGAATCAGAGATCAAGGATTGAGTTTCAAGGGACCTACCTTTGAGTTGTGTTCTAGGTGCACACTCGTGTATCTTTTAACACTTTGTTATATTTTCTTTGATTTTTACATCTCTTGGCTTCCCAAAGGTGGTTTTTTGATGCTGTTGGTCATCACAGGTCATCTAGCAGCTTCATCATCAATGGATATGTTATGGGTGCTTCTTTCTTCTTCTGCCGTATACTAATGATGCCCATTTACTATTACAAGTGTTATTTGGTCTGGGGAAGTGAAGAACAACTGCAGCTGGGTGCACTTATTAATTTTTTCTGGATTTCTACCTGCATTGTGCTGGACATAATAAACTTATATTGGTTTACCAAGATAGTTAAGGGTGCAATGAAGCTGACTCAAAAGCTTAAAGATCGTAAAGACTGACAATGAATTATGTAAATGTTACAATATTGGATACTTGTTATATCATGTGGCCCGAGTTGTGTGAAGGGCAGATGAGGCTATCCACAGGATAAATTACTGCTGATGGATAGCATAGTACATTTATTAACACTTATTTGCTGGATTGCGATTTATTCAGTGGTTAACACTATATGCCTTTTGAACAACTGGGCCTTGATCTTTATGCAATTTTTTATGAATTCCATGTTCAATTTTCACTGCCTTACACCCACACGTTCATTGATCCCCATTTTTTGTTTTCGTTTCTTTGTTTGTTTGTTTTGTTTTTTGTTCGTTTGTTTGTTTTGTTTGTTTGGATTTTTGAGAGCCAACTGTTTTTTCCTTTTTTTATTTCCACTTATTGTGGAAGAATATAACGTTAGCTATTGTTAGTTATTGTCAATCTGTCTAGATTTAGGATGAGTGTTTTATTTGTGTATGGGTAAGCGAAGATCTGTGTGGATTGACCTACGTGAAGGCTAAAAAATATATTACAAAGATAGAAGAAAACCCTAATTTTTATGAATTACTTACTTTATGACATAGCATTTTTTATGTACAATTTCTCTAAAATTTATTGCAAATTATGTTTATCAATCTAGATTTGGGATGAGTTGTTTATTTGTGAATGGGTAAGCTAAGATTTGTGTAGATTAACCTACTTGACGCCAAAAAAATATATTACAAAGATAAAAAAAGCAACATTACCCTAATTTTTATGCATTTCTAACTTCATGATATAGCATTTTTTATTTACAATTTCTCTAAAATTTGTAGCAAATTATGTCTATTATTTATCATTAGAAATAAGAATTTTGACCTTTTGACAAATATATTTATAGTGTTTATTTAGATTAGCAATAAAAATAAATAAAATGAAAGATTTATTCATTATCCTGGAACTGTTTACTGTCTGATAGTATGATCCCTATGCACTAATTTCTACTCACACGGGAAACATGTCTAACACATGTGTGCCTTGGGATGAAACCCTTTTGTGATCAGGGTCTTTCAAGGTATTACTTGATCAGCTCACAGGTGCAAGGCTGTCATTTTTTGGGGCCGGTAGGCAGTGGAGACCCTTCGGCTGTCAGACCATTTTGCACCTGCTAAAAATTTGAAATGATTCTTACAACAATTTCTGGCGGAAAAAAGTTAACCAAATACGTTCCAGAGTGCTGGAAACATCTATTCTGTTTACTGACACAGCACTGTCCAGTCCTATCCTTTACAGCCACTATTTATTTTCCTTATTAGTGATACTGACTTCAAACTCTGCTGATAAAAAATGTGCCTTTCAGAATGGGATGAAGGAATCTGAATTAAACTACGGGTATTTACATAACAAATTAAAAGCTAACAGTGTCTACTTCCCAGCTTGCAGGGGATGTTACAAGGAAATCCTGAGTTCGGCAAGAGAATATATTCTCTTGATTAAATACTTGGTGGATTACTAAAAAAGATTAAAATATTTTAAAAATAAATTAAAAATGGTCAAGAAATAGAGATTAAAAATTAACAATCAATAATATTAAAATCAATTAAAATCAATTAAAAACAATGAAAATGAATCAAATATTAAAAATGATGTTAATAATAAAAATAATGATAAAAAGATAAACACGTTAAAAAATAGAACTATTAAAAATAATGAATAGTAAATTCACCTTTTTATAACTTCATTTTTCTTTATTTTAAGTCACATTTCTAGCATTTAAAACATTTACGTCGATCAGTCTTTAGTAGCTACCGTAACAGCTACAGCGTCTGACTATTTTTTTACCTTCCGTGCAGCGATTTTTACTGTATGGCATAATCGTTGCCATTAGAAAAGTTTCTAATTTTATCTTTTCCCTTGATGCCATTTCAAATCCATTACACCTCCAAGCGCCCACCCTTCTAAGAGACATTGTGTTGCAGTTTAATTACATCCACTAATTGTAGTACTGGTGGGCACATCACCTGCGCTTTAATGTACTTGTGAAGGTCTTTTTCACTTCTCTAGCAATTGATGTCAATAATCACCTCTCAGTCGACTTTCGCACTTTACCTTTCTCTAAATTGACACACGATAACTCTATTTCGGAGATGAGAAATTTGTTTTTTCTTTCGAATATACTGACATGATCAACCATCTTTTGGAGTTTTGAACACCTTTATTAACAGAGTAGTTAAAAGAAGTAATTTCAACGGTATTTCTACGAACGTAATGAGGTTAATTGCACGAGTTGTGCTTTAGTGACCACGGCAAATGGAAGCGATTGACTTAAGTTATTGTACCTGGATAGCACATGACCTTCCAAAGAAATAGCAGCTGGTGATAAGAATTTTATGGTTTAGAAATATGAGGATACAATTGGTACTCTTTCCGTTTCATAAAAGGCCCTTAATTTGTGAAGTATAAAGCGGAAACATTTCTGACAAGATAAGTTTGATTTTCTCTTTCGTAGAAAAGGAAAATTTCAATGGGACTTTCAACGTGGCCGGTTATTGAATGGGTTAATTGTTAGTAACCGGATTCTTTTCTTTGCGCAAAGATTTCTGGGATCGTCACTGAGCAAACACTCGCAAGTTGCAAGAAGGAAATGGTTGGCCAAAGGTTGTTTCGACGTCCAAAAACGATTTTGCAGATAGATCAACGCTTTTTCGTTTATCATAAGTGAATAAAGATACTATTTCATTCGAACTCAACACGGGAATCTGAGTTAATTATTTGCCTTCCTTCTGTCAGGAAATGAATCAAACTTGCCTCGGCGACATATTCAAGTGAATTTCGAAAGCCTTTTCTTGAACTGACTTATAGTTTTGATTAAACTGTATTTAAAAACATATTAACCCTGAAAATTGACATCAACTGGATGATAAGATTCTTTAATCCGAAGAGTTTAAGTTCGCTGAACCGAAAAATTTATTAATTCTAGTGGCAGTTTGCTGCACTATTAATTTGCCGCAATAAATTTAGCCTGTGTCGGGACGGTGAATCAGTTATGCTTCAAATTTAAAAAGAAATGTGAATCATTGTCCAGTCTTTACATAAACCGTTATTAAGACGAATTAACACTATAAAAGTAATTTTCACTGAGCGGTTTGATTCGTCAATTCAGTTTGAAAAGCTTTGCCGGGTTTTTAAGCGATGTCAATTTGATAATCGAACATCTCTTCGCTTTTCATTTGCCGCCATAAATTTTTTCCAGCCTCAACCATAAGTTGTGTTTAAAGGTGAGAGTTCTAATCATTACTATCGATATTGAATGTAGGTGATTAGCTGCGGTAGAGAATTTTGAAAAGCTGACATTTCGAGGCCAAGCTAAAGTCGGAGGATGTTAGCTTTGAGGCGACAGCTTTTCACTTATGCCGGAGCATACATGAGCACGTGAAAATTTTTCTTATATTTCTCCCCCGATGCCCATTAGAATCTATGAACTCTTCCGGAGGCCTAACCTTTTTCATAAGTCGATGATACATTGCCATCTTAAAATATGAGTGATACTGCGGTGCTGCTCGCGTAGTTTAGCTATAATTCTAAGGGCCACACCATCTGCAATTTATTTAGGTCAAGTATACTCCACCACTGCGACTTATTCAAAAGTAAATAATTACCTATCAGTCGATTTTAAACCTGTTTCGTTGTGGAGAAACTATTATTTTATTTCTGTCCCTCTCGTGACGCAAGTTATATTATGAAAAATCCAGGGTAAAACTTTTTACTTTTCTTTTTATAGTCCACTGGTGCACCGGCTAACGTCGCATCACACTGCATCAAGAGCAGTTCAGTCTTCGTAAAAATCCCGCTAGTTTACGAGTGTCCAAACTAAGCAAATTGAATTAAGACTTATAGCACCCTAAATCCCACTTTATCTCTTCTATGATATGAGAAAACTATATTTCCTGATGTGGAAAAGCCATTGTCATTGTTTACTTAATCATCGTTAAATATGCAAAAAAGTAATTTGCATGAATTATATTTTCAGTGAGCAAGGTAACCTTTGCACCTGGAAAGAAAATTGCCTGAATGAAAAATAGGTAACGGTTAAATTTTTTGGACGACTAGAAACAGCATCGATTTCATGGACATGTGCCTAAACTGTACAGAAACAACCAAAGACTCTGCTAGCAAGGCGAGTCCAAATTCACTTTTCTATTGCACAGAAAGAGAAAATTTCAAATGGATCTTCAACGAAGATGGGAACGATTACAGCTGGAATATTCTTGTCATCATCCGATCTGTTGCATCTCCTTGTATCGTACTTTTAAACACTCTCGCTATCATTACCATGCAGAACACGAACATTTTCAGAAAGAAGTGGACCATTTTACTATCCAGCATGGCCGTAACAGATCTTCTCATTGGGGTCTTAGATATCCCTGCGACAGTAACCGTTGATGTATTGATTGTTTACCGAGTCTCCTTTCCGTATATTTGCCGCTTAGACTGGGCCAGTTTTTGCCTCAGTAATATCCTTTTAGCATGTTCAGTATATCATTTGACAGCTATTGCCCTGGAGAGGTACGTGGCGATTCGAAGGTGGATGGACTACCAAGTTATTGCCAGGAGAAGCCGTCTCAGAAAGTTAGCCGCTTGGTTGTGGACAATTTTTACAGCATGCCCAGCTTTTATCATGCAGGATTTGAGAGTTTCCAGGAAAGCTGTGAAAGCTTGGATGTTGAGTGAACTTGTCGTGATAACTGGTTGTCTAATCCTTATTCTGTATTTCTATTTGGTGGTGCTTCTGGAAGTGCGAAAAAGCAAGATAGCTGACATCCGTCGGTTCAATGTATTAATAACAAAAAAAGCAGAATTCAAAATTGCTACAACGACTGCCCTATTAAGCTTTGTTGCCTTCTTTTCTTTTCTGCCAGCCGGAACTGCATTTATATTCGTAGATATTTTTCCCGTAATTCAAACAAACCAGTATTTTATTTTCCGTTCAACACAAAGTCTAGCACAGTTAAACTCTCTGCTGAATCCAATCCTCTACTGTTTCAGAAATCCTCAGTTCTGGAAAGTTCTGAAAGAAATGGTAGGAATAAAAGGTAACACAGGCTTTCAGCCATGGCTAAAAAGAACACGACACAACCAAGAAAAGATTACAAACTATTCACTGAAAGACAAACGAAGGGTGGAGAAGCATAAGAACTTGAGCAAATCAAAATCCTTCAGCGAAGGCTTCCTTTCAGATCCGAATAGAAAAATGGAAATGTTACCGAGGAGGTCATTGTCCTGCCCCATTCCTCGCAGTGAGGCCAGAGCAACATTTATCGACGGTCAGAAACAACAGGCACATTGATACTCCCTGAAGGAAATACCGTTTACCAAACGGTAAAGATAAATGGCTAGCAGCAGAAACATGACAAGAAAATGCATGCATTGTAACCACGTTAAATTTGGAGTCTAAGAAAGTAATTAAAAAGGAGTTTGTTGAATCCAGAATTGAATCGAGTGCATGGGTTTTCACAAAAAAATTTGGTGTATGAATACACGTATCAAAGTGACACAATGGTGTACTCATGGATGTGCTGCATATGACATAATTAGAATATACTGTCATAATACTAAAAGCCAATGATTCCAGGACACAGAATCAAGCGTTTTCCCCCACAAAATTTCTCCCTATTTGATTCGCCATATCTAACTATCAGTCCGCCATCTTTGAAAAGATGCATGCCATCCCCAGACTCCTAAGGCTGGGCTAAGGCTAAGAAATTTGCACGTCGAATCCCAACATTACCGTTCCTATGCTTCGTATATCCATGAATAAAAGCAAGAAAAAAATCACTGGAGAATTTTACTTGCTCTTTTTCTGTCGTCTCTTATTTAGTAGAACAGGTCAACATACCCTAATGATGTCTCTGTTTAAGTAAATTAGATATGATAGCTGGTGATATTTCAATTGGAAATAAATTAACCGCTTAGCCCGCCATTACTTTACATAAACGAAAGGAAAGTATCGCAGCTTAAACTTGTACGAACGCTCGTGTTTATATTTGGCGCAAATCAAATTTAAGTTATTTCAAACTGCAACTTTTGACCGCTTCTTGTTTTTTTTCTCAAGTATATCCTACACCCACTGTTCGTCTTCAATTGGCAACTGTGACACAAGATCCAATCTACTTCTTTGTCGCTCCTGATAAACTGAAACCAAGTAAAATATATTGAACATTATTATTCCACTAAAGCAACGAGGCTACGGAACGCGAAACATATGCGACGGTTTTCCATTGTGGAGTAGGGCATTTGTGCATCTGCTGCCACATTTGAACAAACTTCTAAGACATGTAACGGGAAGCAAGAGGTATTTGGTTGAATGACAGTCTCGTCAATGAATAACTTGTTTATCGAAAATCATAATCAAGCTTGGTCCTCCTGTGCCTAAAATTCCTAAAATTTTGCCGAAACAAATTAAAATGTTATACCCACCAAAACAAAACTGGCAACACAGTACAAAACAGCAACAGCAATTATATAAGCAACAACAATGTAGCAACAACACTGCAGCAACAACACTGTTACAGGAGCGGGGGGGGGGAAGAAAACGTATTTAATCTTTGTTTTTCAATGAAAATTAGAATTTTATAAGTCCCAAAACGTTTTGTAGACTTAATGGGAACCCGAGGTCACTAGTTGTCAGACTGAGGCTTTTTTTTAACACCTTCTCTCAAAAGATGATAATTTAAAAAACTAAGCTGTATTAAAGTTCACCAGCTTTATATTTTTTTTCCTTTTTAAAAATATTTCAATGTCCAAATATTGGATCCACTTAAGACTTTTTGCAGCTTACAGAGACACCGTCGCTTACCTAGTTTTCTCCTTAACCAAAGCACAACTCTTTCATAATAAGCAATGCTCGCCCTCAAATTCCCCAAGCAGTGATATGCGTTAGCAATACTCGCGTTGGCCTTCGACACGCTGTTACCGTCTTTTAAACTTTCGGCAATCTTTCGCCTTTGTGACTGATAATAAATGGTACTTTCAAAGTCTTGCTGCATCTCGGAGATGTTTCCGAGATTGTTGTACATCCTCGCTTGACAACTTTTGTTTTGTAACTCTTCAGCAATCGCTAGGCCTTTTTCGAAGTACTCTGTGGCCTTTTCGAAATCACCGAGCCTTCTATGAACACATCCCAGGTTGCAGTAAGCTCTCTGTAAATGAATTAACGAACGTTGCCGTTTCACCAGACTAAAATACTGCTCGTAGTAATCTTTGGCAGAAGGGAACTTACACAGTTTGTAGTGAGCGTGACCTAACTCAAGCAATAACTTTTCCTTCTCTGGTTTATTGCACCGATGCTTTGCCAATTGTTGATTTAGATCTTCTATCAGCTCTCTTAGATCTTCCTTGGTTTGCGAAGCGACTCTAATTTCTTCAACATCTTCCTCTTTTAAAATCTCCCTGAGCTTTTCTTTCGACGATTCTTCTCTATCGACAACATCTCCATTAACATTCAGAGTCTCTTTATCGTCAGTCTTTTTTGCCGAGAAATTTTTTCTCCATTTTCTTAGCCTAGAACAGAGACTAGATCCCATAATTTTTGTGCAGTAATAATAATTAGACCTCGCTCTTGTTAAACGCTACTTTTGCATAAAATGACTATCTTATAAGCTTGCCACCTGTTACTCGATAAATATATGCCATGCCATTAGTAAAAATACAATTCTATTTAAGAAAAACTACGAACACAGATGTTGTCAAATAATCTAACTAATAAGAAAACATCTTTA